CACGCGTGACGTCCCTGTTGCCAACTCTACTTTTATTATTGTTTTTTTTAGCAGTCTGTTTGAAAACAATATTAAAAATGAAGAAATGATACAGGTTTAACGCCCCTTCCAACACTATTAGGTTATTTAAGAGGCTTAACGTCTGTCTCCGAAAGGATCGAGCCAAAGGGAAATACATGTATTTTGTGTGAAGTGCCGTTCCCAAGGACACAACGTCAGACCGAGCTGAGGTCCAAACCCCCTAACCTGCAATCTCACGATTAAGGGTCCGGTAGCCTAAACAACAATAATAATAATTATTATTATGCCCTTTTGTTTCTACTCTATTATATAACACAATGACTTGACAATGGATGTACTCACGGCGCTAAGGGTTTCCGGATCACTCTGTCAAGTAACTTTCAGAACAAAATACAGCCGAACCTGCTCTAACGGCCTCCTGTCCAAGACCCATACCTGTTCAAACGACAACTTCTCATAATCCCTCTTTGCTGTTTCTTTTCTTCCCCATATTATAATAGGGGGCTCTCGTGGCCTAGAGGTTAAGGTGTTCGCCTCTCGTTCAATAGGTTCAAGTCCAGAGAGCAACAGAAAATTTTCTTTAAAAAAATGTTCTTCCTTCACATCTTTTCCAGCTCTCTAACATTGTTCTGTCGTCCGCTTTCGTCTCCACTTTGTGCCCCCATCCTCTTTGCCCCCCTCCTCTGGGCTCCTGACTCTTTCTACAGCTTTTCTACTGCCTCTCCTTAGTTCCTTCTGCTGTCTTTGAGCCACACCCCTGGTCCTCATATGGTAGATAAGATCTACACCTAGCCTTCTCGGACAAGGGCGAAAAATCTCGGAGGTCCGGAGCGAAGTTGCGCACATTAAAGATCCCTTGGTGGTCCAATATCGATAAAAGTAGGCTGCAGCCGCCACTCGGGCAAAATTCAAAATTTCCTACCTACTGAAAAATATCTTTGGCGTGTCCCGCGCGGTCATATGACCTTATGCAGTTGCGGGCGCCGTAAAACACTTGTCAAAATATTATACTAAAGTTCTTATATGACCTTATGCAGTCGCGGGCACCGTAAAACACTTGCCAAAATATTATAGTTACGTGCTTATATGACCTTATTTATGGCGTTGCGGGCGCGTAAAAAAAAAGTCGTACTAAAACAAAATATAATAACAACACTCTCCAAGACGTCTACTTATGGGCAGTGACAACCACTTTTCTTACCAACAACGGAGTGCCGTTTCAGACAATTTCAACTTGATCTGTATTATATTATGAAAACAAATAATTTGATAAGATCTGCACTTGGTTCCAGTAGGGAACGGGATAGAGGGTGCCCACGTCCCTCGTGACTCATTGGAACAGAAGAAGATAGGACTAACGCTAACATTACTTAAACGCAATCCCTCATCACCACTCAACACCACTATTAATTCTAAAATCATCACCGCTCTCAGATCAATGACTTACATCTATAATCCTGGAATCTCTATCCGCTATTACAGTTAATTGTTATACTAAGTATGCATGAAATACACTATTGGACACAATCATATGCATTTTTTTCTACTAATCAGATTGCGTTAATCTTATATAAATGGGCAAGGGAAAGAAAAAAAAAGAAAAAAAGAAAAGATCTGGCCAAACCTCCGAGTCCTTGTGTTCTTCTTTGTCTCTGCGGCTCTGGTCTGCCACCTGTTTGTAGTACACTGAGGACAGGGATAGATGGGTAAAAGGTTGGGGTGTGGTGGTGGAGGGGGGGATTGGTTTGGTTTGGGAGGGGTGGAAGGTAGGTGGAAGGGGAGGGGGGAGAGAGAGAG